ATTCTTATATAAAGACATACAAACTTGTAATTCTGAGATTTAAAAAAAAAAGTCTGAATGGTGAGAAAAAGATCTTTAAATAAGATTTTAAAATATATATTATTATTTATTATTTATTTTGTGGCAGAAACAAAAGCATAATTGTAAGATGTAAACTTAGAATTCAGAGATCCAAGTTTTAAGTTTTAACAACACCATATGTTAAAAAACAAACAAAATAAAACACAATTCCAAGCTTACATCTCACAATTCTGTTTTTAAACAAATTAAACAAATAAAATAAAAATGACCTCACAATTACAAATTCATATCTCACAATTCAAACCTTTTCTCTCACAATCTCAAGTTAATATCTCGCAATTCTGAAAACCGTGAAAAAAGTTTCTGAAAAAAGTCCAAATTGTGAGAAATAATTTCAGAACCGCAAGAAGAAATGTCCGAATTGTGAGATTAAGAAGTTGCCGTTATCGTTTTATGTTTTATGTAACAAGCTTCCATTTATTAATGAGGATTTAAGCGGTAAATAAACCTAAGAAACAAACAAAAAAAAAAGTTGCAGTGCAAAAAACTGGTGCAATGGTACTAAAATCTGCCACACTTTCAAATATAGCTACTATTTGATTTATTTTGATTCTGAGGTGATATATGCCGGCTCTCCAGTGTTTTCATGAGATGCAGACAGCAGCAGAGATGTGAGTAAATCATGGCTCTGATTCACAAGCAGCTCAAAACTGGAAGTGTTTGGGATTTTGGCTCCGCTGTGTATTTCTAGTAACGAGACTGAGGCTTAAACCATGACAAAGAAAACGAGTCTGTGCTCCTAAAAACACTGTAAGAACTCAAGCGGGTGCATCAGCAGCTCTGGGCCGGATCACTGCACACAGCAGCAGCAGCAGCAGACGGAGGAGGAGCTCAGGGCTTTCGGGGGAATCAGGTCCAGATCCTCATCATCAGGGATTTCATCCAGGTGATATCCATCCTTCAGCAGCTGCCTGCTCAGGTCCGGATGCACCTGCCGAGAGACACTGTTATCACTGATATCAAAGGTGCTCACTTCATCAAAACAAAACTTGTGAAGTGCATCGTGTTTATGTGACTGTATAACCCTTTAAACCCTAATAATAGTCAGAAAAATCTATTTTTTTAGGCTTTTATGGCACATACAGTTGAGGTCAAAAGTTTACATCCCCCTTTCAGTATCTGCAAAATGTTAATTGTTTTACCAAAATAAGAGGGATCATGCAAAATGCATGTTATTGTTTATTTAGTACTGACCTGAATACGATATTTCACATAAATGACATTTACATATAGTCCACAAGAGAAAATAATGTATTTGTAAGTGTATTTGAACCCTTTCCAGCAATGACTGTATGATTCTGAGATGCATCTTTTCACACTGAGGACAACTGAGGGACTTGTATGCAACTATTACAGAAGGTTCAAACGCTCGCTGATGCTCCAGAAGGAAAAACCATGCATTAAGAGCCTGCATTGAAAACTTTTGAATTTTAAAACTTTTTGAATTTTTGAATATGTAACCATATTCTGTTGCTTCTAAAGGGCAGTACTAAATGAAAAAAATATGACATTTAGGCAAAATAAGACAAATGTACACATCTTCATTCTGTTCAAAAGTTTTCACCCCCCGGCTCTTAATGCATGGTTTTTCCTTCTGGAGCATCAGTGAGCGTTTGAACCTTCTGTAAAATGAATCGTTTGGGAGTCGTTGAGCAAATAAGTGCATATAATAAGACAATGAAAGTGTTTTTTTGACCTTGCATGCATGTCAACCTGTTGTTGGGGACTCCCAAAACCAAAATATGAACCTTTCATAACCCATAATAGGGGCACTTTAATAATGCATATTGTTACTTCGAGCTACTTAACCAAGAACGTCTGTATGTACTAATTTGATTGCCTAGCCATTTGTTGTTACGTTGCTGTTTGTTCCGTTTCTAAAATGAGAGAAGTTTGTACTTTGTTAGATTAGGTCTGGGAGTGTTTCACCATCCTTGCACTTTTGTTTTTAGTTTTTTTGCATTATTTTTGACACACTATTTTCCTAAGTTGCTTTGACACAATCCGCATTGTTAAAAGCGCTATATAAATAAAGGTGACTTGACTTAAAGGAGTTTAATATGCCGAAGATCTCGGTTTTATTTTTATATTTCTTTTTGTTAGTCAGTTTAGAGGTTAGTTACAAGGATTGTTTGTTTTGTTTATTTCTTTGATTTGGGGCGACACTCCTGTTTTTCTTTTTTTGTGTGTGTTAAATTTCATATTCTTTTTCACTTAATTATTTGTAGACTTTCACACAATGCATTCGGCACAGTCTTTTCAGTGTCATCTTTGATCTGCACCACATCCAGTAACTTAAATATTACAGTATCATCCCTCTTTAACATCAGGCACGTAACAGGTATTAACTCACCTCTGCTGAGGAATATCCAGACGAACAGTCCAGCTCCGCGTCACTGATCAAATCAAACACCAAACCAATCAATCAAAATGATTCAAACAGAAGACGTTTCTTCTCTCGATAGCTGAATCTCACCTGTCTGAATCCAGCGGGACGAGCGAATCCTCTCCTGTCTGACTCAGAGCAGCGTATCCCTTATTGAACTTCACACTGCGAGAAGAGAAGAAGAGTTCAGCTGGCACGTCCTTTCCTCTTTTACAGCCAGTTTGTGTGTTTGAAGAGAAATAAAAGAAGCTTTGGTGAGTGTGAGCTGTGAAACACACCCGCAGACTCACTTTAATCATTAATAAACGCTTTACTGTAGCAGAGAAACACTGTTACGCTCTGTCTGATAGAAAATAAAGCACACAATATACTGATTGTAGTCTTAATTAATCTGTGCATTCATATGCAGCACGGTATTTTAGATTAGATTTTGAATTAGATTTTCTGTTTTCAGTTTAATTTTAAAAAGTTTGAGTAATTTTGTTGCAGATTATTATAGTTATTTACCTAAAATAAGTCAAGTAACCTTTATCTACATAGCGCTTTTAACAATACAGATTGTGTCAAGCAACTTTACAGTATTAAATATAAAAATAGTCTCACTCTCACACACACTCACTCTCACACACACTCACTCTCACACACACACACACAATCTCACACACACACACAATAATGCAAAAAATAACAACAAACATTAACAAAAAATTATATATATATATACCATTAACTTTTTTTCAGCTAGTTGGCAAAGCAACATTTCTCATTTTTATTTAGTTTAACTTGATTTACTAAAATAACTAAAACTGAAATAAGTTAATAAAAATTATACAGATATAAAAAAACTAATAAAAATAACAAAAACACAAAAATGTTTAACTAAAAATAAAACGAAAAAGAAAACGTTCAAATTAAAACTAATTAAACATTAACAAAACCTATAATATTATTTAAATGATACTAAAATAACAATTTTTTTTGCACGTTTTGTCATTTTTTAGTTTTTGTTTGACTTATTTTAGTACTTACATAAATGAAAACGAAAATTCCTTGCAAACACCAGAAGTAAGTTTTTTAATTCATTATTTCAAGTAATGACTTTTTTTATGGTTTTATTTTAAGTGCATGATCATAACGATATGCAGTTTAATGCATCTGTAAATCACATTCATTGTACTGATTTAAAAAAAAAATGCATCCACTGAATGCAATGCAAGTCACTTTACATAAAAGCATCTGCCAAATGCATGAATGTAAAGATGTGAATATTTGTGCAAGTATGTTTTCAAGTCCCGTGAAAAAGATGCCCCTCGTCCCGAGCTGCGGCGAGACTCACGTCTTTGGTTTGTGTCGTGGCTGATGAAGCAATCCTCTCTTCTGCAGAGCTCGTCTGGCTGTGTCTCTGTGCTTCTCTGCAAACACAGTTTCGATGTCAATGCATGCAGGTCAAGACATGAGTTATGCAGATCTGAACTCTCAGTACTTACGGAGCGTGGTGTGGAAAGCAGGAGCTTTGGACACGATATACGGCCCTCTCTTCTCCACCGCTTGTGTTTGCTCACTGTTTTCAGCACTCTAATGATTACACATGTCAGTTCAACTGATTGCATTCATCAACAGTGACAAATAAAGGGGCGATTTCATATAAGTTATTGCTACCATATTTTTCTCATAACAATTGCATTCTTAACCTGGTATACTGTCACACACACCATGCACTAGTATTGTATTTTACATTCTGTGCATAAACAAAACAAAAAAATCTCTTTATTATATTTAACTACTATTTGATATAGCATGCATACTTTCTGGTGCATATTAAAAAAGCCAATTTCCTTGTTAGTGCAACTGATTTGACTACTAACCTTGAATACTGATATCATATCTCATGTGCTCGTGATTTCATCAAAATGAATTCAACGCACATTCAGTGCTCGTGTAGTTTGAAATCTATATAAATGCTCATTCATAGACACAAACACATTGTTCAAAAAAACTGCACAAAACACAGATGACAGGACACAAACCAGCTGCTGATATATAGGATATTTCCCTTCCTGAATACATGATGAGCGCTTTAAGCGTTTTAACATTGTTGATGGAGTTTAGTAACACAACAGACGACCGGACTGAGATAAAATCACCTTCATCGCGGCCGAGGACAGAAGAGTGTGCTGCTGTCGGCTCTCCGTCGTGTCGCTCATGTCGGTGTTTCAGGATGAGAGTTTAAATGAGAAATCATGTCTTAAATCACACTAGCGTCGATGCTCATGCTAATCGAGTTTCCAAACACTGCTGTAAACAGAGTTCTTCTTCGCCTGACGTCACTTGCAGCGCATTCTGCTCGCTGCTGCCCCTCACAGGCGCTCCGGCGCAACTGCAGCCTTAAATAAACATATATACAGTGGGTACGGAAAGTATTCAGACCCCCTTAAAT